TTTGCTTTCCTTTTTCCAGGCTTTTGAGTAGACGGCTATTCTTTCCTTTCAGATCTTCAACTCGTCTTTTCTCAATGTTCAATTCTCTGGTCATCTGTACCGTCGATTGGCTGGGTCCTGATGCTTTTCGGGATTTATATAATTCCTGATAATCTTTCTGTAAGGCTCTGTACTCATCCTCACCTTTTTCTTTATCTTTTCTCAACATTGCACATTGTGACGAATGAAAGTCAATGTCAACCCTCAACATAGTTTTATCTTGTCTCATTTGCTCTAACTCTTTCGACCAACCATCTCTTTCTGCTTCAAACTCAGCTCTCAAGATTTCAATCTCTGATGGAACCACCTTAATGCGATCTTCCATAGAAATATCCTCATTTTGATCTGGTAGAGGAATATTTTCGTTTTTTCTGACAGATCTCCAATCTTCATAATCAGGAGTTAGCATTTCTTTTGCTGCTTTAGCTCGAATACAAAAAGTTGTTTTCCAAGCTGTAACGGCTTCCATGATATTTCTTTTATAATTTTTGCTGTGAAATGCAAACTCAGATGACTGTAGTCCAGCAGTGATAGGTACAAATTGACGACCTTCATACTGTCTTATAACCAGAAGTGGTGGATATCCAATTCCTCCCCATAATCCGAGCAGCATTATCCAGTTGTAATCACCACATTTGTAAATGAATTCCCTTTGTATTTGCCACGGGGCTCGCCAAACAACGTCATTGCTTTGCAGATTTCGAAAGGCATTAATCCACATATCTTTCTTAATTTCTTTAGGCCATTCCTGCTCCAGAAATTCCTTTAATGGTGAATAATCCATATTAAAGCGTCGATATGAAATCTTTTCTGTTCTCCAGAAATGACTACGGATCCAAACATATAACAACTGGGTACACCCTGAGAATCGTCCACCTCCTAGCCTTCTGCAAGCATTTAACGATCTGAAGGTCTCTGCTAGGATGGCAGAAACAGGATTAATCTTCTTCAGTAGCTGTTCAAACAAGTCTACCACTGCAGCTTCAATATATCCCAATATTCTTGGGAAAATGACCATACCATATATACCCAGAGCAAATAGATCAAATCGTACTTTAATATCTGGATGGCTCTGAATAAGTTCTCTGATGTTGGTCCAAGCAATGCCTTCGCTTTCGCCTTTTTGTTTTGTACGGGATGCTACCCATTCTTCTCGTACTCCGGCAATTTTTGCTAATTTAACTCGAAAGGGTTGAGTTTTAATTGACTTTGAATAGATTCGATTCTCCAAAGCCCCTTCGATATGTAACAAAGTTGTGTATTCTTCAATAGTAGGGACCAAGTCCTCCTTATTGAAAGTGAAGCAATTGTACCCTGGATTCCAGAATTGAACTAGGGCTCGGAGTAATTCATCATCAACTTCTACATAGAGCAGATATGGGATGTCCCCGTAAGTCTGATAAAACTGCAATTTTTTGTTTGAATCCCAACTTTCCCAAATGCTTCGCAAATCTTGCATATCATTTCTTTTTAATGAAACTGAAGCATAACTGGCCAAGTCAGATACATAATCATCCTGCAGACTGTCTCCTTCTTGTCTTTGTAAGTCTTCAGCCCACTGCCTTACTTCTGAGTTTAGATTTACTTGACTTGAACACTTTTTATCCATAGATGAAGGCTTTCCAATGAGACAATTAACACAAGGATCAATGTCTTTTATCCTGTATGATGCAATGCAAACAGAAAAATAAAGAATACACAAAAAGAAAATAAATTAGTTTACATAATAAAGAAATTTAATAATAATATTTACATAAATATTCTTTATTTAAACATGCTTTTCTGAATTTAAATAATTTAAATAAACATGTAATTTAAACAATAAATAAATTAACAGGAAAGACAGAATTCATTTCTCCTGTGTGTACACCTATTTTGGACAAAATTTTGGCATGACTTCGTATCGGAAGAGTTTCTAAGGTTTTTTATATGCAAGGTTTCAGATCTAAGAATAAAGGTACCCGAATTGTCCTTGTTAGTGCCCCCTTGGGTTGCTAACCCTCAATCCTAGTCCATTATAGACTAAAGTGGATCGAGTTCAATTCGAGGGGATACATTTCTCTATGCCTGACACGGAGAATAAATTCTCACGAAGACAGAGAGCATATGAACCCCGGAAGTTAATTGCTAGGTCTGACACGGAGAATAAATTCTCACGAAGACGTCGCTTTCACTCCCACTTAGAAGGGACAACTCAATTATAGAGCTTTATGTTATGCAATGCACGTGTTGTGTGTGAGGAGAAATGTTCATATCTCTGACAAAATAACTAATAAAATAAAATACTTGCAAATAAAACATATAAATATTATAAAAATAATAAATACATAAAAAAATTTGAAAAGAAAGAATTAAAAATTAAATATATGAATTTTTAATTTTTAGTTAATAGAGACAATTTATAATTAAATTTTTAAAAGTTTGACCAGTCCCCAGCAGAGTCGCCAAGCTGTCGTAACCGGTTTTCGTCCGGCACGAAATATTAAATTTAGCGGGGAAATTGATGTGAATAAATAATTTTGAAAATAATTTGTGAGTCGCCATCGGCCTTTTGGGTCAGGTAGGTCGAATACCTAAAAAATATCTTTTGAAAGAGTTTTTAAGAAAACATCAATTAAAAGATAAACTGATCTGCGTTTTAACCAAAAATTCATTCTTTTTAATAATAAAAAGGGATTCGTGGTCGGTTACGTTTAGGGAAGGATTAGCACCCCTACAACGCCCAAAATTGGTACTTTTTAATTATAAATTGTCTCTATTATTAAAATTTAAAAATTCAAAAATATATTTAATTTATAATCCTATAATTTAAAAAAAAATATTTATTTATTTAAAAATATCCGAAAAGAACTTCTAGGTGCCTTAAGACAGCTCTTTTCTTTGATATTGATAAATATTAATTTAAATAATATTGTTTACTTTTTAATTTTAAAATATCAGAATAGGACATCCAGTTGTATTAAGACTGTCCTTTTCTTCAATATTAAAAATAAATATTTTTAAAAAAATACTATTTATTGTATGTATATTTATGACTATATAAAAAATGTTTAACAATATAATAAAATAAAAATATTACTAAAATAATATATTTAAAAACAATAAAATAAATGAAGACATATAAAATGAATAACTAAATTATAAAAATAAAACTAATTACTAATTACTAATTAATTGAAATTATAGGGTTTAAACATTTTATTTTCTAATTTAATAATTTAGTGACCAAAATGAAATTATCTAAAATTCGAATTTTAATATAAAATTAATTAAAAATATGAACTAGGGATAAAATATTATTTATTAAAATTAAAGGATTAAATCTGCTATTTATCCTAAACATATTATTTTAATAAAAAGGACTAAAATGAATAAAATTAAAATTCAAAGACTGAATTAAAACTATTATAAATTCAGTTTAGTGACCAAAATGTAAAATTTACAAATACGAGGGACTGCGGACGGGATTTAACTATTTTATAATTACGCGAATAGCCCTTCCCAAAACGGCGTCGTTCGGGAAGGGCTATTTAAGCCCAAAATCAGCTGGCCCGAAGGGCCAGTTTCATTTCTCCTCTCTTCCCTCTCTCTCTCTTTTCTGAGAGAAAGAAATTCTCTCGCTTCTCTCTAGAAAAGAGAGAAGCTCTCCGGCCGGCCGTCGTTAGCCGGCGTTCATCCGCCGTCAACCACCGCCGCCGGCCACCGTCTTCGGTGGCCGGAAAAATTTTTTCTTTCATCTAAACGTAGATCGGACCGTCATAATGACGGTTCCGACGTTTTTTTTCGTTAAACTGCTCCCAATCGGAGCAAATCTAAAATAATACCTTCGATGTTTCGAAGGTTCTGACGAGATCCGGTGGTCGACGCTTCCTCGGTAAGTCTCTTCTTCCTTTTTCTTTCTTTTTTTTCTTCTGGTTCTTTGCTGCTGAGATCGTTGGTATAGTTTGTTTTTTTATTTTCTCTGTTTTTTTTTTCTTTCTCTCCGGTTCTGTTTCTGTCTCTGTCTTTCTGTCTTTCAGGTGGGTGGTGGCTTTTATAGCCACCACCGGTGTTCGTCTCGGACCGGTCCGAAGAGGGGGCTTCGGTGAGTCACCGGACTACCAGTGGTGACTCACCGAGTAGCCATGGCGTGGTCGGCTGCCATTTTATCTTCTGGAGTCTTCGGTTGGGACGTGGCAGCGGCGGAGGCGGCGAGGGCTGTCGGCAGCCGCGTGGAAGCTGGAGCGGCGCCGCGTGGCCCTAGGGTATCAAACCCTAGGGTTTCCTTCTGGCATCATCTGGACCGTTGGATCTTGCCAGATCCAACGGCTGTGAGCTGAGGCGGCTGATTAATTAGGGTTAGGAAACCCTAACTGGAAACCTAAACATTTAGGGTTTCTAGTTAGTTTTGAACCGGTTCTGGTTGGTTTGTAACTGGACCGGTCCAGTTGTAATTGGGCCTGTAAATATTATTATGTATTTAATATATTTAATATAAATTAATAATAATAATAATAATAATAATAATAATAATAATAATAATAATAATAATAATAATAATAATAATAATAATAATAATAATAATAATAATAATAATAATATGGATAAAAAATTAATATCTTCAACTCGGAGATAAGTTTTAGTAAATTAATAAGAAAGCTTAACCAGTGGTCTGAATTTTGATGGTAACTGCTCAACTTTCATGGGGTTAATTACGGTTAAACGCACTTTTCTTTCAAGTTTCTTGAATCTCTGAATTAGTTAATTTACTGTTAACCAATGGCCGCTGTACATCACGTTATTTTGTGGGTACAAAAAAAATCCAATATTGAGGGTCATTATTATGGCCTTATAGCAAGGTTTTAGGAATTGCGATTTGTTAGTATTTATGGAATGGAAAGGAATATAGTTTTCTCGGGTTTGTATTGTAATTTTTTATGTGTTTGTTTTTTTACCTAAGAAGATGGCTGACATACTGACAGGGGTTGCAAGGCCTGTGGAAAAGAGGAATTGGAGTGGGGATGCAACGGTGAGGGTAGGATTCAAGGAGGGATTGCAACAGTCCCGGGGTTTGGTTGGTGGCCTATTAAGGCTTACTGTCCTTGCCCTGCTTTCATTGCATCCGGCGGTCGGTACACGTGGTCAAAGCATGGATGATGATGCCTCTGGAGGAGGGGGGAGAGTGAGTCCTGAGGGAAATGGTGATGAACCTGACTTAAGGTAAGTTCAGTACTTCATTATCCTTGTTTATGTATGGTAAAATCGTATACATTTGATTGCTCTGGTCTGGGATTTAATAAAATTTTCGATTAATTTAGTTGAATTCCTTTACTCGAGTTCGAGGAAACATTCGGGCCTGAAAACCTGTATATTTGAACCGTGAGATGGCTTCCTCTTGCCATAGAATTAGAATCAGATCTTTAAAGGAAGGGACATCTTTTTTACTGCATACACCTCGTATGAACACTTGTATGACTGCATCCTCTTGGAAGACGTAGGGTGAAAAAAGAGTGCACTTGTAATGGTCTTTCATTAGTTGACATTATCCTATGTTACTCGGACTCGGGTACAAATGTCGGGTAGGGATGTGTCTGGATATCCAATTTGTCAATTGAGTTAAACTCAAAAGTCGAGGATACAACACAGAAGGATTATAGGGAAGGATAAGTGTGTGAGGACTCATTTTATATATCCTTTATTACACAATAGGAAATTATTTTCTTATTGAATTGGTGTCTAATTAACCCGTGACACTAACTTTTTAAGTTAGTAGAGCTGACGCCAGCTTTATCACCAGCCAGGGTGTTTCTTACTGCATGCGGTGCTTGATAAAAAAAAACCAAAAGATCTGAGATCTTAATAGGTCCCAACTTCGCCATTATATCTACAACTTTATTAGCTTCGCCATATATATATCGTATACTGTTATCTGTGTCATTTCGTCTAAGAATACGACGAATCTGATCCATAGCCTATACCGTGATCTGTGTCATGTCGTGTTGAATAAAGTGTGGCTCCCATTTTGGTGAGACCGGGGAAGGGCATTATCAGCGTGTAACCAATGATCTATAAAAGGAGGTGAATGTTGCCACCAAGTAAAAACACTCCCGCTGCTAATTATAGTTGACTTAGCAAGGTGATGTGCCGGTCGATTTCCCGTCCGAAGAACATGTTTAAATAAAACCACTCTAAAACTCACACTAAGAGATTTAATATCATTGATTAGATGCCCCAGACTCGACACTAATCGATCATTGCTTGTTAGGTATTTGATCACAACTAGAGAATCATTTTCAATCTCTACAAGCCTGACCTGCATTTCCAAAAGCCATTTGATGCCTAGCAAAACCGCATTTGCCCCCATCGAAAGTGTGTCCACATGGCCAGCTTGCTTCCACGATATTGCTGCGATAAAGGACCCGTTTGTGTTTGTTAAGACCGCCCTGAAAACCATCCTTTTACCACATTTGCCTCGTTCTGCACCAACATTTAACTTCCAAAAACCATGGGGCGGTCTTTTCCATTTAGTTACTAGTAGGCACCGTCCAAAACCAGTAAACCCTAGTTGATTTGTTTTTTTCAACTGGTGAATATACTCGGTACACCAATCAGGTACCGAGGAAAAATCGGGAGCTGTCCCGGTCTGATAAAAACTATTCTGCATATCCCACATGCTCCAATACATTACCAAATATTCCCGAAGCATGTCTATAGTACTGTTTGAGATCAAATTACGGATGATATCTTAACAGCTTTTGTGGTGATGTTGCCTTAAAATGCTGAAGCATGAAAGGCAAAAACTACCGTCAGTCCCGTCACACAACTGCAGCTCCAGAAAATACATGAGTTATCCTCGACCTCCCATCTGCATAACGTACACATAGAGTCAATATTAATGACCCCCCGAAAGTAGATTGATCCTAGTAGGAAGAAGGTTGTGGAACATGCGCCAGCTAAAAATAGAAATCTTGCTCAGAACAGCAAAGATTCAAAATGATTTTCATGGCTTTCTAGCCTAGATCATCAAGTCAATTATGAAGTGTGCTCATCGTAGCCAGTTTGTTATCGAAAAGTCTAAGCCGATTTCACCGAGAAAAATCTCTGTTGCTATAAGCAGATCCAAAGGTAAGTTCGCGGTGCTGACTGATATCTACCCTTCCTCACCGGCCACCGCACAAACCAAATCCTCCTGCCGTGAGGGGGATTGAAACCGATTCAGTCCTTTTGTTATTTCTAGTCGTTGATTCAAACTGATTCAACCATTCTGTACTGATATTTTGTTAGTTCAAGTTAAAAAAAAGTAGGAACTGAATCCAACCAAACTTTTACACTTGTTTTGTTGTTGCATTCTGAAGGTTGTTCCGGTTTTTTATGAGATAAACTGAGGAATCCTTAATTCTTGCAGCAAGGGAAAGCAAGGTCCGAGGAAGTTCAAAAGATAAATCAATGCCTGGAATTTGCAACTGCAAGATTATGCTATGCTTCAGAAAGGCCAGACCTGGTGATCCAACATCACAAGCGAGCATTGAGATATATATACAAGGGAAGGATACATTTTTGCAAACCTTTTGTTCTATTTATATTTTAATAATTCAACCATTATTATTTCATGTTTTAATTTTTTTTCTGTTTCTCTTCTGGTTCTTGTCTCGATTATTTTGGACCGATCCGTGTCATTTTGGTAGGAGAGTCTCCCAACCGAGATTTTCTGCATACACAAAAATTTAAGCTTGAGAACTCGCGATATCAAACTGCTTACCGCTTGAACCAACTCTCATCGATATATTTCGTGTTTTATTTAAATGAATAATACATTAAATTTTAAGTAAATTAAAAAAAAATGTCTGAACTGCTTGTTTTATGTACAAAAAATTGTACATTAACAAGCGTGGTTGACAGTCAAATGACGTCCTTGTAACCACATTTTCTGACCAAAACTCCAATGAAATAATCAAACACCCAACCATATCTAGAATGATGGGGAAAAGACAGGTTAGGATGGTCAACATCTGGCCAACGACAATTTGCCATGAGGAGAGTGACCCTTTTACCATCCTTGATTGAAGGAGTCATTGTAGTAGGTAAATCCTTTTTTTATGATTATTATTATTATTATTATTATTATGAGAAAAGATGGGCCAACTTTCAGGGCCTTGGATTCTTTCCCACATCTATGGCTGACGGCCGTTGCTTTAACGTAAGTAGACTAGTTTGTCCTCTTGTGCGCAGATCACGGGTGAACTTCTTTAAATTTTGGGTAAATTACCTCTTTAATCATCTAACTATCACTTTAATTTTATTTTAATAATTTAATTACTTTTTAAAAAAGTTATCATTGTTTTGATTTTAATGATTTTATTTTGATCAACTGATTCAACATTAAACAATCGTTAATTAAAAACTTAACAATAGTTTTAATATAAAAAAATTATTATATCAATAATTTTAGTTATTTATTGACGAATGATCAAAATATAACATTAATGATTTAAAAAATTAATTTTGAAAATCAAATAGGAGGATTAAAATGCAACGTTAAAGGATAAAAATTTATAAATGCCGATCGTTTACATTGGCTTTCAAGAATTAGTGAGGAATATATAAAGCAATAGCTTAGCTGCACAGATCAGATTCTGATTAAAAAGCTTTGATGAGCTTGCTAATTGTTTGCACTAAATTGGTTCCCTTCCCCCCATTTTTTAAGGCATCATTAGGACAACCTGCCAGATCATGAGTTTGCCTACAGAAGCATAATCAATGTTTATCAAGAAAAAAAACAACTGGATAAACTTGCATTGATTTTCTTATCATTTCTTTGAGCTACTATAACAAATAAGATCATGTAGGAACTTCAATACTCTGTGCTCAGTGCACAACACTGCAATGCACACACCAAAACCTCAAACTGTATCGTATAACTTCACAACTTAAGTTGATGTTCATCACTGGTTTCAAGTAATATTATTTATGCATACACCATACAGTAAATGGATCCATAATACTCACCGTCTTAGTTTCACAAATACATAAAACTCTATTCTCTCTACTTATTCTTCAACTTTTTCCCTTCATTATCTGTGTATTTGTATCTGTATGTGCTCAAGCATCTTGCTCAGAATTTAATATCAGAACCCAAGCAATCACCTTGATCAGTAAATATATCCAACAGGGAAAGCGCCTGCAAATTTCACCAGCAAGATTTAAGATCAGAACCCAAGTTGGTAAACTAAGGAAAATTCTGGGCTAGCATCAAAAGCAATGGTGAAAATTTTACCTCCGGAATGTTGAGTTCGAGGCGGAACTTTGGACCATCGTAGTGATGGAGGATTGGCCTAAATGAGTCTTCTTCGAGTGGCTCGCAGATTTTCCTTGTAATAACACGAACCTATGTAGAATCAAAAACCTTAGTATTCCTCAATAAAATACAGAATAAATTAGTTGGATGTTACAGAAATTCTAAGAATGAAATGAATACCTGAGAGGGGAATCGTGATTCGCCGGGGCATTTCTTGTCCTCCCAGGCAGTTGGGTCAATGTTTGTTCCACCAAAGCTTGCAGCCTCAAAAACTCCATGGAGTTGGTGGGTGGAGTAGTTGTAGAGGAACAGAGGCAGGCCCGGAGTTATTGCCCGAACTGAATCTCGGTAACGTGGAGGCAAACCTTCAGATGATTCATAGCAAAAATTAAGGAATATAACCGGAGTCTTATTCAAAATTCAAAATCAAATCGAACCCAGACTAGTTTTTGAGGGGGGGAAAAGGTCAAAGACATACCAAAGAGCTGTCTCTTGAGATTCTCTTCCATGGTATCGTTGTTGCAGACGAAAATATAGCCTCCAACAGTTTGATTCCTAGGCAAAGATTCCGATGGCGGCAGCGTCTTAAATCTCTTATCAGCACCACTCTTCCCATCCTTGTCCTTATTTTCGTTGCTATTGTTGTCGTCGTTGCTGTTGTTCTTGTTATTGTTCTTCTTCCCAGTTTTGATTCCATGAATCTCCTCTCCTTTATTCTTATTACCCTTCAAATTAACATTGAAATTGTTGTTGTTCACTGGCTTTGAATAGATCCCTTTATTGAACCCTCCGTTGACCCCAATATTCTTCTGAGATCCAATCGGACCGAACCCGATGTCGATGTTGGCGTTGTTGCTAGGGGCTCCGATTTTCCAGCCATCGTTGCTGAAAGAGTTGAAATCGGAGACCCTCGGCTTTAAGTTGTTGACGGAGTTCACATTGCCGCCAACTCTGATATCAAAATTCCTCCTCTCGTCGGGCCTCTTCGAGAGATAACCGCTGCTCCAGATGGAATCATTGAGCGAAAGATTAGCCAAGTTCAAATTCTGGACTCTAAGCTGGTCACTGAATTGCCAAAAGGATTGCTGGTTGTTCTCCATCGGAAACTCCAACTCAGAAATGGGATCTGGGTATCAAAGATGAACTAATTTCACAATCTGGGCAACTAAAGTATATGGAGTTCAATCTGTATAACTTATGAATCTGCTATGGTAAAAGCAAAAGGAAGATAAAGGTAAACAGGAAGTATTTAATAAGGAGGGATCTAGGAAAATGAAAAACTGGAAATTGCTTGGAAGCTGGGTTGGGGGTGGGTGATTTTCACTGTTTTAAGATTGCGTGTGGACTTATCAAAATTACACTGATAATGAAATATAAATTAATCATTATATGTCCGATATTAATTAAATTTTATTGATTTAACACATTTGATAATATGGACGAAAGATGCGGATTATCAAATGCGTCTTTCTTAAATTTTCGTTCTAGTTGGCCTCACATGAATAAAGTGCGGATCACCATCCGGCCTTCGTGATAAAACTAACAAGAATGACATTTATGCCTGTGAGCAACAACGTTTTTTTAAAGTTCATCTGGTTGATTTTGACGGATTCTCAGGCTAGGAACCGGATGTTTCTTCCGCCGCAGAGCTTTATTCGGTGATCCATCGACTATGGTTTTACCGGAAACCAAGTATTTAAGCCCTGATTATGGGTGAACCAACCCATAACCGACTCTTCTGTTCTTGAATTGGCACACCGTGTTGCCGGATGCAATTATGAAAACCAGACCGAATGGGGATCCAAGGTGACTCCGTAAATTCTACTATATCTTTAATTTTATTTTTCCTAGAGAGACAGCTTGTTGTAACAATGTATGATGCCTGCAGATTGGATTTAGATATGGAGCACTTTCGGAGGATTATTTCACAGGCTACCGTATGAAATTTGAAGGATGGAGATCTCTATTCTGCTATCCCGAAACGCCGGCGTTCTTAGGAGATACACCCATCAACTTTCTTGATGTTCTTAGCCAAAACAAGAGGTGGGTGATCGGCCAACTTGAGGTAGCGTTTTTGAGATACAGTACCATAACTTATGGAGTCCAAGAGATGGGGCTAGCTTATTCATACATTGCATTCTTGGCCATTTATTTAATTCCGATCACTACATATTCCTTTCTCCCCCAGCTTGCTCTCCTTAATGGAGTCAGCATCTTCCCGATGGTCTCGGAACCATGGATCTCATTTACATGTTCCTTTTCCTCGGAGCATACATGCAAGATTTGTTTGAGTTCGTCGTAGAGAGGGGAACGATACGAAGATGGTGGAGTGACCAAAGAATGTGGATGATGAGAGGGCTTTCGTGTTACTTGTTCAGTTTAACCGAGTTCTTGCTCACGTCCATCGGCATTCCCGCACAGGGTTTCAACGTGACCAGCAAGGTAACAGATGATGAGCAAAGCAAGAGATACGAGCAAGGGCTTTTCGAGTTCAGAGTACCATCACCCTTGTTTGTGACGCTAGCGATGGCGGCGATAATCATCCTGTTATCATTCATCTTGGGGCTCGTACGTTTCATCAATGGCAGCAACAAGGAAGGGCTAGAAATGCAGTTGCTCTTAACAGGGTTTATAGTGATGAATTGCCTGTCGGTTACCAGGCCATGACGTTGAGGCGTGACAAAGGGAGAATGCCTATTAAAACTACCATTACCGCCACAATCTTGGCATCGGTTGTTCATGTAGCGGCTTCTTTCTTTTCCATGTAATACTAGCAGATCAGGAACTACACTAGAAGGCAAATGATGAAAATAATATGCATATGCACTTAATATTTGTATTATTCGTACGTTTGAAGTTTAATTATATAAATTTATTTATTTTAATGTAACAAGTTGGGAACAACACCAAGTATTCAAGCAACTCAAACAGGCAATCTATAAAACAGTAAACAAGACTTAGTAAGCTTGCTCAATTTGCCCTTCAATGCTAAATATTTCACCTCAGTTCAACAATGGCAAGTAAATGCTTTCTATTGTCAATAATTCAACAGTCAAGGAACAAAAACTATTGATGAAAAAGTTGAAAGAGCTGTGTTTCGTTCCTAATCATTCAAAGATACAGACACATACATACCAATCTAATTATACTTCCTCTTCCTTATCTTGAAGCTGGATGCTCGGATAACATCATCGTCAGAGTTGAGCGCCGCCTCGAGAGCCGCCATTGATTCCGGTTTCGTGAAGTAGGTAAAGAGAAGGTAAATGCCATCCAAGTAAGTGTTGGTTTCTCCAGCTTTGTTTTTCCTCCTGATGCTGTAGGCTAGTGGAATCACCCCTCTGTTATATACCTCAATATACATGCCACCACCAGCAACAAGAAGCTGCAAAAATGATCCCATAAATTCCCTTCTTCTATGTAATCTTAGCAACCAAAAAGGGTATTTAAAGGAAAAGAAGGGACATTACCTCCTCGTACTTCTGGGTAAGAGCAAGCCTTTCATCTTCAGACATGTCGGGCCTGAGAACCACCATGGTCTCGTACTGTCGGAGCCCCGGTGGGCACTGGGGTTCCTCTTTATCTTCCAAGGCAGTTATGCCAGACCCGGTTTGGGAAGGCGGGTCATCGTCGGAACCGAGACCACCCTCGAAGAACGAACCGGAGAAGTCCAAGGTCTGGGCTTTGACGGTGAAGGTAGTGAAGTTGTCTCTTTTGAGGGAAATCGGAGACTTCGGCTTTGGAGGAATGGGTTTGAGGCTGCGAGTGAAGGAGAGGACGGGTGGAGGTGAGAATTGGGTGAGAAGATGAGGGCAAAACGGGGAATTGGTTAGAGATGCCATTTGGGTTTTCTTTGATGTGAGCTCTGTCTGATGCTGAGGTTCAGGGATTAGCGAAAGAAGAAGAGGGACGGATAAGGAGAAGTGGATCATAGAAGAAGGGGGCAGTGCGCGCCTACGCTGTTTTGTTTGGTTGGGCTTGTGCCTATTCAGTGGGATATTAATATTATCAAGTTTTTGTTATCCGTTGGGCTTCTTATTATATTCTGTACTAGAATGAATACCCACATTCGCTGGGTTTTAAGGAATCTTAAACCGAATAGTTACATTTTTAAGATTTTAAAATTATAACGATATTAATATATTAATAAATTATAATTTAAGATATATTTTTTCGTTTAACTGGATAAGTACAAATCAGTATTTTTTAAAAGATAATTCTTAATCTTTCGATATTGAATACTCATATCCCTGGCATATAAGGGGCTTAAACTAGAGTCCTCAATGAATAACAATAATTCCTTTACCACAGAGGTCACTTGAGTCGTGTAAATTTATTTAGGCTTAATACACTTCTAAGTTTCTAAATTATACTTCAAATTGACTTTTGGTGATTAAAGAATTTTTTTTTAAAAATAAGTGTCTAAAGTTTCCAACGTTATAATTTTATGTGCATAGACAGTAACGGTAGCTAAATTTAGTTGTTATATAAAATTTCAAAAAAAATAGTTAAAAAACTTAAAATTTTTGTATTTTAAAAAAACCCAATATTTTTTGAAATTATTTAGAAAAACCCAAAATCTTGAAAAGCCCTAATTTCAATCTCTTCACCACCACCTACTGCCACAATCGCCATCAATCGATCAAAATCTCAACAACACTCGATCGCCCCCTAATACTCAATGGTCGACCTCCCATGATTCAAGTGATGATTGCTGCAAAAAGTGGGTGATTGCAGCGATCAGAGATAGAGAGGATGACACAACTTCTAACAACTTTTCGACGAACGACGATCGACGTAGGTGAAAGGTGATGATCAGAGTTTGGTCGTGGGACGATGGTAAACTCGAGTGACAACGGTGCACGCCATGGACGGTTGGTGAAGGATGGTCGACTGATGGCGACAAGGGAGAGAGGTCACGATGCAAAGGGTGGGGGTTTGATATTTTTTCTTTTTTATAATAATATTTTATTATTAAAAAATAAAAAAATTAACGGTAGGCACATAAAAATATAATTGAGAAAACGTTTGACACCTATTTTTAATAAAAACTTCTTTAGACACAAAAAATTAGGTTAAAGTATAATTTGGGCACTTGAAATGTATTAAGCCATTTATTTATGAGGTAGTATTGGAATGAAGGTATTTAGATATGCCGTTTACTATAACATTTTAATACTGACTTTTAAATAAGGATCATATAAGAGTAAAAATATTAATTAAATAATTCAAATAAGTTATAAATATAAATAAATATCATTACCATTACCATCGATAAAAGATAAAAATTATTAATACAACTATAAAATGGGCTAAATTACATAACTGACACCGTTTGCTTTAAATTTTTCCTTTCTGACACCGTTTGACCAATATTTCCAGAAGTAGCACCCTTTCTGCTGAGTTGGCAAAGGCGCGTCCCCGGGGACGCGCTTTACCCGCGGTTTCGTTGAGTTGGATGCCACGTGTGGAAGGCGCGTCCCCGGGGACGCGCCTTTGCCAACTCAGCAGACACGTATTTTGTTTTATAATAAATAGTTTATTTTTATTATTATTATAATTAATAATATATTATGTAAAATGTTTCGATTATAATGTAAGAATTATCAAATGTATTTTGTTAATGTGTGTTAAAGGTGGAGTGAATTATCTACATTAATATGATATAACAATATATGAAAATCAATTTTGACTTTATTGTAGTTATAGGAAAAATGTATGAAATTATAATATTACACATATGGTTATATTATTATTTTTGATTTTGATTATCGATCTATTAATTTTATCAGTTAATTATTTAAATGTTATCAATCTAGTCATCTCATATCAATATTTAACGAAAATATTGATGCATAAGTTAATAAATTAGTATAATTACATATTTAATCTTCAAGACTTACATATTTTATAAAATTAGTCTTATTGAAAATTTAATTTAATAAATTTAATCCTCCAATCAGAACATGAAATGTGTCATTGTATACATAATTTTTTTAATAACTTTTAATTTGTTTAATTTAATATTTTTCTCTACTTAGAAGGTGGAATTATTATTATATTTTAAAAAAATTATAACTAATAATATTAATTATTATATTAAATAAATATATTAAATATATTTATGTATTTAAAAGTTAAAAAAATTTATTTAGGTGTACATACATTGACAAATTATATAAATGCAATAACATTAAATTATTAGAAACAAAAACATTCATTTAAATACAATATTAATTACATAAGAGTTAACGGTTATATGATGATAACAGAGCTGGACATTTTTTTCTATTGTGTCCGATGTTTCTACAATGCCCACATCGTTTTTGTTCTGTTGACTTCTCCCGAATATCCATATCACAATGTATTATAGTAGATTTTGGACGACCTGAGTCCCTCAATAGCAATGGATCTGGTACAATTGTAAGCCAAGTTTGAATCTCATTTGGGTCTCTTTCGTTTCCTATGGGCGGAAACTCAAATTCATATACCTTGAATACTTGTGAAAGTTGGTATACGGGATCAACATAATTTTTGTAGTCCAAATGCGAATGTGAGCAAGCAGCAATGACATGAGAGCATGGATATTTGAGTGCTTGAAAGAAACCACAATCGCACCACCTCTCTTGCAGATTAACTCTGAAAGAGTTAGCTTCAATCCCTTGCAGCGGACGTGGCATTTCGGTTACACGAAACAATTCATGAAACTCAACATAAGTTGATTTTAATGTATACGTTTTAATATATATGTTAATGATAAAATCATATGTATGGATAAATTTAATTTCAATTTAAGTATTGTGTACTATAATTGGAATATAACTTTTAATTTCGAATACAATTGGAATATTAAGTTGAAATTTAATGTTAAATTTTGAATACTATAATTTATATTTTAAATTTAAATTTGAATAATATTATTTTTATTTTTATTTTAAATTTCGAATAATATAATTTGTATTTTAAAAACATTTATCAAACATTTAATGTTAAATGTGAATAAAAAATAACATTAAAAAATATGTATGTAACAACCATGAAACATTTAAATAACATAACCATGTAACAACCATGAAACATTTAATGTAGAATAGCTTTATCAGATGCCGCAACCACATACAATGCACCTGGTTGCGAGATTTGTCGGGCATCAATATTCCTCCAATTATTCGTAGAATATATGCCCGAGCACATGCCTTTGCTTGATCCTCTGAAGCATTTTCATTTAAAACCTCAAAATTAGCTTTCAACCAAGATAAAGCTATTCTACCTCCATTAAACTCTGGCGGAGCAGCTCCAAGATAATCAATGCACATTGATTGCCAATCACCATCCGCCATACCACACATCATATTTCTGTCGACGGGAAGCCCCAGATGCATAGAGACATCCTCCAATGTAATTGTCGCCTCTCCACATGGAAGGTGAAAAGTGTGTGTCTCGGGCCTCCACCTCTCAATCAGTACAGAAATTAGGACAGGTTCGAGTTTGCAACCACCTATAATTGTTGCAATATACCCGAACCCGGCAGAAGCCAAATATGGCAAAATACGTTCCGGTGTCGGTATACGTGGATTTTTAATAAAAGTATCTAAAATACGATCAGCATCCTAAATAATATACATTATAAAAAATAAAAATTAATATAAATTCATAATAACTTTAAAATAAAAATAAATTTAAATATTAACATTAATTATAAAAAATATTACCATATCGCTAAAATGTCTGGAGATATGATCAATATCCAATCGCAACAGCATTTCGTTTTCCATTATAACTGTAGACAAAACAATATAATTAGCAAAAAAAATTAATAATTCTAAATAAATAATAATTATATAAATATTATTTTAATAAAAAAATAATATTTACATAAATATATTAATATAAAAAATAATAACTATTTAAAAAATACTAACATAAAAATAAATTTCTTACCACTAATAACAAATTTAAAACTCAAATAGTTGGAGAATTTGAGTTATATAAGAGAGGAGAATATGATTTTGGTGTGAAGAATGAGGGAGGGTTGAGGGGGTTTATATAGGAGAAGAGGAGGGGTAGTTAGGAAAAACGGATGGGGGCATTTATGACATTTAATGGAAGGCGCGTCCCCGGGGATGCGCTTTCCACACGTGTCTGATGATATGGCAAAGGCGCGTCCCCGGGGACGCGCCTTCTACACGTGGCATCCAACTCAGCAAAAACACGGGTAAAGCGCGTTCCCGGAGACGCGCCTTTGCCAACTCAGCAGAAAGGGTGCTACTTCTGAAAATATTGGTTAAACGGTGTCAGAAAGGGAAAATTAAAAAAAAATGGTATCAGTTATGTAATTTAACCTATAAAATGTATATAACAATAATGATTATCTGACAAATCAACAAAACGAGTTCTAACAAAAAAATATTATTTAAATCGACTCGATATTCTAAAAAAAACTAGATTCCTGTAATGTATAAAAAAATTCCTCTAAACTTTTCACCGAAAATAATTATATATAATTTTTTTTTAAATCCAAACAATAATTATTATTGTACAAAATAATTTGATTATTGTACAAAATAAATTCCTGTAAACTTTTCACCGAAAATAATAATAATTATTATTCCGTTAAATTTTATTTTGAATCAGATATATTACAATGATTATTTCTAGTTATGTACATATTAAGTTTTCAGTTGATTATATCTTATTATGTTGATTATAATTATCTTTGTACATGTAATTTTTGAATTATGATTGTAATTATGCTAATGTTTGTATCTGTTTCAAAAAGAATATTTCTTTAATTAATAAATATTTAGTTTATATCTTGTTTTTTTATTATGCTTTTGTGCTTATTAAATTAATTATTATATTTTATAGTTACATGTGTTATATTATAGTTATCATATTTTACGTTAGTTTATACTATTATATGCCACG